AAAAAAAAAGATTTTTTTTTCTATCCTCTCATATCCATATCTCTGTACTGTTTTGGAGCATCGATTTGAAACATTCGATGTTGCAAAGATGCACCCATTCTATGAATGTAGTAGGACCGGGCCTGAAAAAAACTGTTCATTTTTATCAGTCTGCTGGCGAGGAATTTGTTTTGCAGTCTGCTCACATCGATGCAATTGAGAAAGAAGTCGTGCTGAAGGAAAAATCGTACTTGCAAGAAATTTCACACTTGCGTCAAGAAATAAGCAAGGTCTAGTTCTTATTTTTCAAGACAATTTTCCGAATTTCTTCCTTCAGAATTTCCTTAATTTAGCTGTGCTTCTTGCAGTGGATGCGGTGTGGGGCACTGAAATGATCATACTTTTTCACGATTAGCTGTGAATGCAAATGCACAGGAATATGCTAAAAATACACGCATGCGCCACTTCGTGACTTTTTTTAATATTATATAAAAGTTTCGATACATTAGGAGCTGAGGTCATTAATTAGAACTGGAACTGTAGCTTTGGGTACATTGGCACAGGTCCCTTCATTATTCGTTATTCACTAGATTAGACCGTCTAAGAATTTCATTTTTGTCGCTTTCTTCGTATTCCGTAATTACAACATCGGCTTGGTTTTTGGGTCGCAGAATACGGTATTAGCTAAAAGCTAATTTCAGCAGCGTAGCTCTATGTGCAGTTTCGATTTTTGTTCCAAAATTTCTGCTCGTACGAAAATTGACTCATTCCGACAATGCATGATGCACGACTTCAGTGGCCTCTGATTCCTGCAGAAATGCATGAGAAATGTTTCAGTTGAAAATTTTGTGTGGAACTTTATTTGTTACTAACTATCATCAATGTGTAAAAGGCACGCGTGGAATTTTTTGCTGTTCTTTGCGGGTCGCGTTCCAGGCCCCTGTTAGCCTTGGCAGATACTCTTTCATATGTCAGTACTTTGATGCAGTTTACGCCAGACAAAGACAACATACTTATGTCTGTGAAAGTGTTACATAATAGTATTACACATTATAAATATCTGTTAGAAGTATTAAATTATTCGTTCACGATCTTGGATCAGCACATTCCTGTAATGCTTCCGATCTTTTAAGCATACTTCCAGACTGTTTCGTACCTGCCACGAAAGCCAATCATCATTACGTCTCTTCTCCCTCTTTCAGCTGCCGCAGTCTGAGGCCATGGCGAATATGCATTACTGGCCAGCAGTGTGCTTTTCTTTCCCTATTATTTTGTGGATTGCAGCATTTGAAAGTACAACTGGAAAAGGAACTTAAACGAAAGGAAGAGCTCATCACACAAGCATCCAAATTGTGTGACGTAATTAATGGGCCCAGCAAACAGCAAGGGAACGTTAACAGAACTCATGGAATTGATGATTCCAATGTGTCCGCAGCCATCGTTATGGCTGACGATGATTGGGAAGTGGTGATGGATCCATAAGTGGCTTTTTTTGCATAATTGAACGAATAAAAAAGCTTTCCAGACATTTTATTGTTCTCAAAACAACAGGGCTTTTTTGTAACTTAATTAGGACTGTAGCTTCTTTGCTTTCTTTCCTTGGGGTTTTTGGTGAATTATCCTTTTTTTTTTTATTTGATTTCAGTGTTGCCATAGTTGTGCAGTAGGTTCAAGAGAAACTTAAGATTAACTCGGTGCAGATGAGCTTGGTAATAATCGCGCTTAATTTCTTGGTGTATCTTTCGAGAGCTTCGTAGCAGTAATCAGAACCGTAATCAGTTTACTGCATTCTCCAAGATCTACTTTTCCTTTCTCCTTTGGGTCTAAACGAATCTGCAGAGTGTGCCAAAATTTTGTGATTACTCACATCAGAATCCAAATATACAGTACCCGTGGTAGAATTTGAAGAGCTGGTAGCACAGTAGCTTCAGCTGAATTTTTTCAGTTCAGATTCTCAGACATTTTTTTTTTTTTTGCAAAATATGCAAATTATGAAAAACTAGAAGCTGCTAGCACTGAGCATAATCGTTATAAACAAGCTCTCACTTTTTGCTGAAAATCTGGAGCTGATGATGGCACTTGAATTTGTTATTGCACCGAAAATAGCAGGAGTGATGCTTTCGCATTTCCTCTTAGAACATTTTACTATTAAACTGCAGTGTCTTGTAAATCACTCTTTCTTAAGCCCTTATTTAAATCTGTATTGGCCAAAACAGCCCTTAAAACCGTTGAGTTGGTCGACGAGAGGACAGAGGTTTGCTTGGAGGCTAAATCCTCTGCGCAAAGACATGATAAAAACTTAATTTTATCGCAGTCTCAGGATCAAATGCATTTTGCAAATTTCATAATCCTTTCCCGACATCCTGCGCACTGTCAAATTCACATTTTTTGAACGACTAGTCGCCGGGAATCTGATAACTATGTAGGCTGGAGTTTCTTGTAACCCCGTGATGAAACACTACAATCTTAGCTGACGCCCTTTTTTTTTGCTTGCAAGAACAAGCCAAAACACAGCCATATGTGTTCGCATGCTAAATTGTAACACAGGAATCATTCATGCTGTTAGAGATCTGACTGCTGCACGTTTGGCGCAGAAACGCATAATCGCACCGGCAAGCAAGCCTGGTGCTTTGCAGTTCGGATTTTTGTTTTCTTGAAAAACGGTTTGTGTATAATTAATCTGTGTATGCATGCGCACCAAAGCTTTCATCTCGTCCCGTCTTGCAAAAGTTCATGTGAGTGCGTTGCTCGCTTGAATATTCAGATTAACATTGTTACGTCATTGCACACCAGAAATCCAGACTTGCTTATTGAGTTCGCTACGCAATTTGACTTCAAAAATGAATGTTTGTTAAATTCAGCTTCAGGTTACTTTTGTATGCTCATACGGCATGCAGTTATGCCAAGATAGCTCCATCTTGCTGTGTCTTGCGCCATCAACTTCTACTAAATCAATTGCATATGTGGTCTAATTTCATTCTAGGGATACTGTTTCTCTGTGTTTTACCAATTCTTCACGCCACAGTCCTAGGTGCTCAGTTTAGTCACAATTAATACCACTTTTAAACCAGGCATTCATTTAGCACATATAAGGGAATAGTGATTGCAGATGACGTGAAAGCCGTGCGAAAAAACCAAACTTTTTGTAGTATTTTCAGGAAAGCAGCTTTTGGCTAATTGTTGAAATTAGCACTTTTGGCACATTATTTGACGTCTTAAGATATCTTACGCACAAATTCAGGTTAACGTGCAAACGAACGGTCTGAATGACTAAGACAGTAGTCTGTCCCCCTCAGTTCAAGCAAGAAAGTGGTTGAGTTCCTCAGTTCAAGCTAGAAATTGATCGGATTTCTCAACTCAAGCTGAATGGCAGTCAAATTTCTCAGCCTAAATCAGGAAGTAGCTGCACATTGAAATGATATCAACGAAGGAAGAGGCACTCAGCGTTGGTATAGATAATATACGAATTTGGGTGTAGCTCCTCTGAATTTGTGGGCATTGAAGTACTGCTCTCTTCTGGGGCCGGTTGGACCTGTTCTGTCATATCTCCTTTCCTATTCAGTTAGCATGGTTGTGCGCGAAACTCTTGTAATGTCGGCATGCGTTTCACATTTTGGTTGTCTGCGTTGGCCAGATGTTTCGTATAGGTGAATAAAAAGGCTTTCTAATAGTGCATGTTGGCACGGCACTTGTTTTAACAAAGTTTGTTAGCAAGCAAATTAACCGTAATTTCACATGTTTGAAATGCATCATCGAATGAGCAACTTGCGTATTGTCGTTGTGTGACTAGGAAAGATGATACACGCTCACCTTTGGCTGTGTTTCATCTTCACACTTCACCCAACCCCGGCCGTTGATTCGCAGAAGACTTAACTATGCAAGAGATTTTCCGAGAAAATTCGTGGAATGATTTTTCCGCTGCTGAGATTTTCCAGAAATACGCTGGAAAAAGTCCTAGCTTTTTTTTGCCCCCCCCCCCCCCCCCCCCCCCCCCCCCCCCCCCCC